AAAAAAAAATAAGAAAATAGAAGCACTTCATATGAAACACTTCTCTACGATTACTAACCACTGAAAGTCATCACACGAAATAACATCACCAACAATGTTAATCACTTTTTCATCGGAAAATTTTTCCGATACAAACAATGTAACGTGACCAATCGTTATGATATTAATACACGCGAATCTATAATAATTGTTTAACAAATAATTATTCATTGATAAATAAATACAAAGACAAAAGAACCCAGATTATAAGTTCCATCGAACAAGTACAATTAAAGTTTCCAACCATTTCTTTAAATTTGTTTGCTATAATAATAACGTCGCCAATCGTTGTAACGATAATACCTGCGAATCTGTAATAATTGTTTAACAAATAATTACTCATTAATAAATAAGTACAAATACAAAAGAACCTAGGTTGTAAATTCCATCGAACAACAAGTATAATTAAAGCCTTGCAAACCCTTTCTTGCAATTTGTTTGGACGATGGATCGCGCGTCGAGGATTATAATTGGGGTGTGCTGGTAATCCGTTTTCGCGGCGCGATGGCTTCGTTTCCCTATCTGTATAAACAACGAGAAAATGGCCTCCACGATGGATCTTTCCATTATACGGGAACGTTAACGAACAAAGCTTCCGGTGCTCCTTCGCTGGACGCAGTCGGGAAGAAAGCGATAACGAGCAAGTTGCCTGTCTTTCAGCGAGCTTTTGGATTTAATCGTCGGTTGCATTGATTTGCAGGGGCACACTGCTACAGCATGCTGCAGGGCAGCAGCGGAAAGAGCAGCAACGTTCATCAGAACAGCCTGGATGACAGCAGTACACAAACCGGTCCGTACTTCGACATATCGAACTCGAAGAACGTGACCACCATACTAGGGAAAACCACGTACCTGAACTGCCGCGTGAAGAACCTGGGAAACAAAACGGTAAGTCGAATTAGATCGGCTAAACACGTTACCGGGGGAGTAAAATTCACCTCGAAGAATTTCTCCGATGAAATGTGAAATTCGAGGCGGCGAGACATTGTTCGTTCGAACTGTTTCGGTGTTGCATCGATCGAGCCAGTAAATTTGAAAGCTGGAGGAACCTGATGACTATATATCACCTTGCTGAATTATTTTTATACTTGAATTTTATTTTTTAACAATTGAACTTTATTAATTCGTACGTTCGCTTCTTTGGAATAAATGTATTTACATTTTCTTGGAATTGGATGAATAATGAAATTCAGAAACTGTTAGCCACGTTGGGAAATTCATGTACAAAATTTCGATCGATTGGTAGATTTAATTGATAGAGATTAATTATTTGCAACTTTAATGAACATCCCGAGACTGTGTTCGAAAATCTCCGTAATTACATATTTTTGTTCGTTTCGAGTCATCGACAAGGAACTTTGTTTCGAAATAATTCAAAATGTATAAATAAGCTGGGAGATGTTGATGCAGATGCAGAAATATGAATATTATAATTATAAAGTGTAGACAATAACGTTATTTCGTCGTTAAAGTATCGAAATATCGAATCATTCGCAAGTTCCTCGACATGTTTTAAGCAACAATCAGACAAACACGCTTCAAAATGTCGCGTACGACATTGTTAGTGGCAATAGTCAGACGTCAAATATTTGTAAACGTATATTTAGACGTCGATTGAATCGACGTCGGTGCTTTGAGTTTAATCTGGGTCAACCGGTGGGAAAGATTAAGAGCCCTTGATTCACAATCCACGAGAAACAGGCCACACCCTCTATTAATTATTCAGAATTAACGCTTTATGTTCCATGCTTACCGTATTACCCTGACAATCACGACGTATTTTCGAAAAAAAGAAGAAAAGAAAAGACGATGAAAGAACCGTATCATTCGTACAACATATGTTTTTTTTTCTATTCATTCGCTATAAGCGAGAGGGAAAAAAAAATGCAGTCAAGGATACACGTGATATCGATTCCAGCGTTTCGTGTTCAACATTTCGAGTAAAAAGTGGAACGAATTCCACTTGCAATTCCAATGTAATTGATGAAAACGAGTAACAGCATGTACGTGTACAGATACAGGTGGCAACTTGAATAGAATGATCGATACTTGATTCGCGAATTTCTGAAAGGGAACTCTGGTGTTGAACGCGCGGAAGCACACTGATTCCTTATATTTTTACTGCTGCATTCACTTTCGAGCGGGGATTTCTTATTGATAGCGTCGACGATAAGATCCAGAAACGACCGAATGAAAACTGAAGTAATTGAGATTGAAAGTTTCTCATATAGATTACAATTGGTACTTCGATAGATTACTTAAAATTAGATATCTCAGTGTGTTGCAAAAGAATGTTCGATATGTTATGTGTAATAATAAAATAAAAAGGAAATCAGACTATCGATAGGACATAATTAAATCTAAAGTTTCGATACAATGTTCTTCCTCTTTCAATATTCTGTAACTAATACTTGCTACATCAGTATGGACATTACGATGTGCAGCTGAATAATGCAGAATATATGATTTTTGTCTGTGGCTTCGACTGTTCTACACACTCGTATAGGAATTGAAAATTTCAAGCTCGGTCAAATTTTCTTCCATCGTATCCTACACTTCGTGTCCACATAGAAATTGAAAATTTTAGTCTCGTTTTAATAAAACGACAATCCTCATTGCGAATTCATGCCAACACCATCTCGTCGGCATGTAACCACGTGAATTTCCAATTCTTTAAACGGGCTTACCCTTGCCTCACCTCGACACGATTTCACCGATATTCATCGTTACTTTAATTCAATCGCTGACAATATATCATTATCTTTATATCCATTTTTTTTTTTTGTATAGATATAAATAATACGACAAACTATAAGTTATTGTCAAATTACTTTGTTTACAGAGTAAATAACGCACAGCAACAACGTAAATAACATAACAGAAATTATATAAATTAATACCACTTTAACTTAATATACAAATTAAGTGCATAAATTAAATCCTATAGAATTTTAATAAAAACGTAAGCACGAATAATTATCGTTATACATATACATGTTATGTGCTGATGCTTTCATAAAGGCAATTTCAAACATTGAATCACTGATAATACGAACGTCGGTGAATAAATACTTGGTTGGCGAAATTCAATATCAACCAAAATAACGATCGGCGAAATGATCGATCGGTGAGATGAGGGCTAACCTCTTTAAACCCTTCAGCGTACCGACTGAAGCAACAATTTTCGTAAGAAAATTCGATGACAGTTTGCCGATAAACCGGAGGGGGGGGCGGGGGAGGAGGCAGGAGAAAAGCGCGGTGGACAACAATAAACGGCGCAGGGCCGAGGTTCGCGGAGAAATTAAAACAATTGCCTTCTAAACGGTGATAAGAGGGAAAATTAATATCGGCGAAAGCA